TTCTTACGAAATTACAATACTATAGAAGATTGATTTTATAATGCATGAATTGGGGTAATATTCAGAAAGTGTTGAAAAATACGTGCATTATTGGTAATATATAAAAAAAGACGAGCTATCGCTGCTCGCTGCAATGATGACTTCTGACATTTCTGTTTTCGCTATTGTGTCATTTTGACTTATAATTAGGGCTAGGGTTGAAGCTGTTTGCCTGTTAAGGCTTCTTGTAGCAGTAGCAGATTTAGAAAGGCTTAGCAAAAAGAACAAGAAATTATTACGAATAGGATTTGTTGGTATTTGCAATAAATATATTTTTTAAATCAATCCCCATCTTGCTTTTTTCTAATGACGACTCGTATTTTTATCTGTACTAGTTCCATTGGATATTGTCTCCATGTTTTAATCCAAAGTGAGTATTAATTTATACGCATGTGGGCACTAAGAGGATGGAGTCTCACCAACAGTTCCAAAGACCCTACCTAGAAGCCCCTGGGAATGTGTCAGCAAGGTGGCGGGAGAGTCACAGGGAGATTACTGTACACTTGTGTTCGTGAATTGAGGGAGACTTTGAAGGACAGCAAGTGTAAGAGTCATCCTTGATGAGATTTTATCCATATTCACAAGTGGTCATGCGGATAAGCATGGTACATTGATGCATTTACTAAGTGTATATAATTTGCCTCTTGGACATCCGTGGTTTGTGAGGGCCTAGGATCTAAATATTGATAAAAATGAAGTGAGTGGAAATTCCTAGTGTGGATTTACTAGTCTGGATCGCTAGGCAAAGAATAAGAGTTTGAATACAGCGATGAAGGTAATCACGCTCCAGCAAATCCACTCAAAGGGGTCAAGTGATTAAAGTCTGTGGGAGCAAAGAAAGGTTGTGTTAAAATTGTTATAGAAAACAGGCTTAGCTATTGTTAAGGGGAGCCAGTGCCGGAGATATTGTGTTAGACGGAAAATGTACCTGAATAAAAGGAAGGATAAGAAATACGTCATCACTCCAACACAAATTTCCCATGGGGTTTGTATTCACTTTTACTAAATTTACAATCTATTACTGTATCCTAGGGGGGTGCCTACTCATGATCCGACTACGATGTCCGTGTTATTTATGAGAGAACACCAAGTCACTGCTCTCATGCCGGAAGGAGTCATGGCAACAATGGAAGGGAACGGGATACGTTCTTCTCAGTCTTTCTGAGAACACGACTTGGTTGTCAAAACTAGGTCTCTTCCAATCCATTTATTAGAAAGAGATTTTGATTTAACTAAAACCACATCCCTCTCTTCATATTTAAGATAATTAAAAATGTAGCCACGCGAAGTTCACGTCTGAAGCTTCTAATGTTACATGTGTCACACATTTCTAATCTAATTGAAATTAAACCTCATATCTCAAATATAATTACCGCATATTTCAATTGAATCTACAGTATATTATATGTAATGCAATCTCTCTTAGCCCTTTTTCTCTGTATCATTGCCTAAATCATGAATATCTTAATTATCGCTATTTATTCCTTATTATCTTCACTTGGCTTTTATCAACAAGCTTTAGCCAGCTGCTTTGCCAGCAATAAAAGGTGAGATGAATCCTTTATTATTCACTAGATTCTCCATTTTTCCTTTGCCTTTTTATTATACTATCTCAAGCCCAATAATGTTGACCCCTAATTAATTGAATTTGCGAATTATGATACAGAATTGCCATAAGACTTGTATTTCGTAGACAAAATATATCACTTTTAGCGGTCGTAGTCTGGTCTGAAAATGTTTCTTGTGTTCTTTTAATTATGATTTCTTTTTTGGGTAACTGAGGCAAATAAACTGGAAAGACTGACGTCTTGGTTAATGATTGAATGGTAAATCCGACTATTTTGACAAATTTCCATATGTGTATTTTTGTTAATTAATCAACATTTGACGGACAGTTGGGGCACTTTGGAGCTATACGAATTTAGCCTCCATGATATCGAAAGTTAATAGAAGATTGACATCTTATTATCGTAGAGGATTGTTAAAAATAAAATATTGTCTTCTTTGCTCTTCTTATATGTCTATTATTTAATGTAGTTTTGCATACAATATCAAATATCGAAATCTTTTCCTAAATAATTTACTCGTTAGTCTTTTAATGTTCTAGCCGATTTTTTATATTCACGGAAAGAGCTTAGTACGCTCCCTTATTTTTATTTACTTATTACAATGATAATTCTATATGGAACGTTATGCTGCCATCTCTTTTTTGTTTACCTCTGTGCTGTGATCACCATATTGAAAACAACAGGACGTTCTCACGTTTTTATACTGTTTCTTCCGACAACACACATTTTCAGAGACTGATGATTTAATCTTGGCAAAATGATACTTGTAGATCTCATAATGAATCATCTCCCAAAAGAGTAGTATATGCATAGAAAAGTTGTTTTTTTAAGCATCTCTCAGTTTATAATTGTTAAGCTCCAGGATGAACCACAGTTTCGACTTCGCCTGGACCTCATCAGCACCTGCAACGGGATTTTAACCAGAACAGATCAACGTACGTTTCCAACATGTTTCTGATACCACATTGTCTCATGTGCCGGTGACTTTCGACCCAAAAAGTAACAGTCCATCTTGAATACCAATATCTGGGCTAAATTTACTGGCTGTGAGAAAATCTAATTATCAATCCTTCGCCTTATGCTGCTTATTGTGATCAGAGCTCTTTTCGAGATCTCATAGCATCGAAAGCTAATCAGTAGGAATATATTTTGGCGAAGTCGGTCGTTTACTTCTTAAAATAGTACAGTTTAGTCATTTTATTTTACTTTTGGCCGATGCATTGTCTGAATTTTCCGTCTCATCTATATTATGCAGCTACTATGCTAATCTTAAACATGCTTATCTCTATGCGATTTTTCTTAATACTATCATTCTCTTTACCTTGACGTAATCATATGCTCGATCGGATATATTTATAGACAACTCCCTTTATCCTTTGCTCTCTATTCGTCCCTCGTCTTTTATGCCCAACAACTCTGCCTCTTCTCTCCTTACGCTGGTGGGACGTTAGCGAAAGTCTAATGCATGGCTGGGAGTTGATCTGCGTGTGCCTATTCTACTTTCCACCCAATAGTCATTTTCGCAGTGCTTTTCAAGACTACCTTGACCGAAGAGCCGAGGTTGCCCGTCAATTGCTCGCTATCCACCGGGTCTTGATGGCGACAGCTTCTGCCACTGACACCAATTCCACTCTTACCGGTATTTCATGCACTTCCTCTTCTTCGTCTGCTCCTGTCGCCAATCTGGCAAATATCATATCGTCCTCTTCTTCTGGTCCCGTGATTTCCTCTTCTCACATCTCGGCTTCGCCTGGGCTCTCTTCCGCCCGACGCCCCCAAATTGGCCAAGAGACGATTGATCTGTCCAACGGGTGAATGCTAGCTTTTTTCAGCTTTGTCTTAACAATTGTTGTTTAGTGTCTTTTATTTTTATTTTGAGTTTTAGTCTGCTGATTTGATCCTTAAATATATCTCACTTTTTTTTCCAGTATCAACTACCAACCACTCGATAAGTAGATGTAAGAAAACGAAATCACCCACGTTTTATACAAAGGCCATTTCGGAAAGCCTTGTTCTTCTTAGTTTATTTAAAACTAATTATTTCTATTTCATAGCTTCTTGAATTTTTAAAATAAGTTATAATCTTGGGCATCAGGCCTCCACGTTATGCCC